GTCAGGACTGATTGTAATTGTAAAGCATGGGAAATGATGCTGTCGCGCACATGGTGTGCACTTGACTGCTTGCTTGGGTCCCGTGTTGCAACACTTCGGCTGTGCGCTCTCTCTGCCCGAACCTGCAATCCCGCCAAACGCACCAAAGGGTCGAGGTCCTTTAGATCGATTGCTTTCTGACCGCCTGGAAACCTGAGGCGGAACAGGAGGTTCAGCTCAGCAATGGCCAGCGCATCCTCAGCGTAGCGTCCTGCCTCCGGTTCTGCGTGATGGATGACGAGAGCTCGGAGCAGAACATGGTCGATCTCTATCGGCCACTTGACGTGATCAGACGGTTTGGTTCAAGGTTTCGGGTTTAGTGCCTTAACTGCAGCGAGCATAGAATGAAATTATTGTCAGCACTAGTTCCGTATTTTTATGACTACTATTGTCATGGTAATTGTTAATATACTATTAACAGTAATATTAACATTAAGAATCGGAGTAGTAGTGGTAGTAGTAGTAGTAGTAGTAGTAGTAGGACTATTTTACACAATGATAATAATGTTGTTATCATTATTATTACCACTGATATTACTATTAGTAATATAATTATTGGTGTTGTTGTCCTTTTTTTACTAGTTACAACTACCATCATTCTTACTGTCACTTTTATTTGTATGATTCTTATTCCTACTTTTATTCTAAATTTTCTTCTTCTGAATATCATCATCATCATCATCATCACCACCATCATCACCACCATCGTCATCATCATCATCATCGTCATCGTCATCGTCACCGTCATCATCGTCGTCATCATCATCATCTTCATCTTCATCGTCATCATCATTATCACTATCCTTGACATCATTGCTATTGCTATTGTATAATCGCATTATCAGTGTTAGTACTCGTATTAGTATCATTTTCGCATTAGCATTACCTTTAGTCTTTGGGTCGTCCCTGAACCCTAAACCCTAAACCCCCAAACCCTAAACCCCGAACCCGAAACCCTAAACCCTAACCCCTAAACCCTAGACCCTTAACCCTGTTCCCAAGGTCCTTCGTCGGTGCCAACCAAAGCGAGGCCAACGTGGACTTCCTCCTCGGGCCCGGCACCTTCCAGTTCCGGCAAGCCGCGGTGGGGGGTCCCGGCGTGAGGGGGAGGGTGCAGGGTTTACGGTTTAGGATTTCGGGGTTTAGGGTTAAGGGTTGAGGATCTGGGGGTTTACGGCTACGCGTGTCTTCGGGAGCGGAGACGCAGTTTAGGGGTTTGGAAGTGTTGAGGGTCGAAGGTTTTTTTGGGGGGGAGGGGGGGAGGGGGGTTTCAGGGTTCAGGGTTTGAAAGGGTTTAGGATTTCGGGCTCTAGGGGTTTAGAGTTTAGTTTTTTCTGGGGGTTGTTGAGGTTTGATGAGGTTTAGGTTCAGGGTTTAACTTTAGGTTTTGCATTTGGGGGTTTGGGGATTTGGGGATTCAGGATGTAACCATGCAGGGTATGGAGTATTGGGTTGGTGAGAAGCCTCAGCCTTAAGCTTTGGGGTTTAGGGTTTATGGTTTGGGTTTAAGCCTTAGGGTTTAGGGTTTAGCCTTATGCAAGCCTGTCACATTGTTTGCAGAGGGCAACTGGGCTTTCGAAGTTCGCTGCACGAGACTGCGACAGGCACAGGTCGCCGATGAGTACCAGCCTCTTGGACGGTTTTCCATGTTGTCAACGGGCAGGGCGCTGCTTCGTGATTTTTCCTTGAGTTGCTGCGAAGTTGTAGCTGTTCCCATCCCGTACTGCAGTTGACTCGTCCAAGGGTGCCCATGCTCCTGTGGTCGCTGCCCGATGAGACGCTCGGGAACAAAATTGTTGTGAGAGATGGCACTGTATGCAAAAATTACGACCCGACAGATGAAAGCAGCGTGTCTGCAGCTGTTTCCGCCGGAGTGTGATGCAGGTTCCCCTAGTGCTGCCTGTGTATGCAGATTCGGTTTCATCGCTGGAAGAGTGAAAGGGCGTTTGTACGGAGGTAGGTCTTGAGGCACAGATTCTTGAGAAGCTGTCCCTTAAGCCCTAAACCCTCAATCCTAAACCCTAGACCTAATCCCCCAAAGCTAAACCCTAAACCCTAAACCTAATCCCAAACCCCAAACCCTAAGCTCGCAGCCCTAAACCTAATCCCACCCAAACCTAAATCCCAAGCCCTAAGCCCCAAACCCTAACATCGAAACTCCCGAAACCCGCAAATTCGAGGTTGGCCGACGTCGGAACTTCAGAGCAGACTCCGCTGGAGTTGTTTCTGGACCTTGCTCTAAGGAGTACTGTAAGGGGCTAGTGCAAAAACGTTAAGGGGCTACCATAAGGGGCTGCTACAATTACTTGAAGGGGCTACTATAACGAGCTACTGGAAGGGGTACTATAGTTGCTATAGGGTTGTTGCTTCAGGACGTGCTTTCAGAAGCCTCAGCCCTGAGCCCTGTTGAAAAAATTAGAAGCTTACACTCGTTAAACCCCAAAGCTTACCCTAAAGACACTCAAAAACCCTCAACCCTAGACCAAGACACAAACAACTCGGAAGCACTAAAGCTAGGTAAATCCCTGACAGTAACCCCAAAAATCCTAAACCCCAAAACCAAAGCCCTAAACCCTAAACCCCAAACCTCAACTCCAGCGCAGGAAGGGGGAGCCAGGAGCAGCCAGACGAACAGCGCTGCAGGAGCTCTCCACCTTTGGGTTTTGGGGTACATTATACTATAATTATATTACGGAACCTTCAAAATAGTATAGGTAATTATTTTGGCACCTATATTAGAGGGGTTGTTGGAGGAGTTTGGGGCTTTAGGGGAGTTGAGGGTTCTAGGGGAGTTTAGGGTGTTTAGGGGAGTTGATCTTTGCAAGCAGCGCCGGGCTTCACTTCCGAAATCGTCATGCGCATGCGCCCGTTGGTTTGTTTAGGGCTTAGCGTTAGCTTTGAAGCTGCTGCAGTCGATTTCGGCCGATACTTCCAAGCCTCCACCGCGTACAATTGCGCCAACAACTTCTCCGCGCCATCAGGCGGCTGGGACTGAGGTTCAGCTCCTCTTTCGAGTTGCGCTGGGCTTTCTGGGGAGGGTGAATGCCCGTTTGTGCACGGGAAGGAGCACGAGCCTGTCGGTTGAACCGGTAGAATGTGCTGTAGAAAACAAGACGAGATCTTGATTGCGCTTGATATATATATATATATATACGGGGGCCTACCTGGTTTCCCTCGCTATATATATATATATATATGTACATGTATGTATTTATGTATGTATGTATGTACGTACGTACGTATGTAAGTATGTGCAGGCATATACACACACTCTACGCACACACACACACACACATATATATATATATATATATATGTATACACACATATACGTACATACATGCACACGCACACACACACGCAGCGAGACATCTGTATACATACATATATATATATATAAGAATAAACATAAATAAACATAAATATAAATATAAACAAACAAGTAAATATATATGTATGTATGTATATATATATATATATGTGCACATACAGACACATACATACAGACGTACATACATATGTACTTACATATGTGTATACATATCTGTTTGCGTATGTATATATCTGTATAAATATGCATACACACACATATACATATATATGTATATATATATATATGTATATATATATGTATATATATATATATGTATATATATATATATATGTATATAAACATGTGTATATATATATATACCTATGACTAGTGGCGCTCGTTTCTTGTCACGTTGTTTTGTGTGACGGCCAGTAATGCAACAGATGCTGTGGCTGAACAGTGAGGAGATGTGAGGCGACTGCATGCACTCCACGTGCTTGTCTGGTCATGTCGATGTCGGTACTTGTGACACGCAGAAGCGCACATACATTCTGAACTGTTCGATGCAAGTAGGTAGCACGCTCATTTCGAATACCGGAGGCTACTACCTTCGTCGCGGAGCGGAGTTTCTGACTTGTGACGGCTACTGCGACGAGCAGCGCGACCTCGTCACCTTCAAGCATGTAGATTGTAAGACTTCATTTTAGTCTGGCTGCTGTTCTTATTCCTATGTTTTCTTATTTTGTGCTTGTTATTCTTATTACCGTTGTAATCATGATGCTGCTGTTGCATTATGAAACCATGTCTATTTCACTTGCATGTCAAGGCAACTTTTGTTGAAGCCAACCTTTGATGCCAAGGATTTCTGCTGCAGGCCGGACGGTGGCCTGGTTGTTTCCGGCCAGTGGACTCCTTCCGATGCAGTGGTGTGTCTGAGCCAACAATGGCTTTAGGGTTTTAGGGGTTCAAAGGGTTTGAGGCTTCTGGGGTCGGGGGGTTCAGCGTGTTCGGTTTTGGAGGCTTCGGGGTTGAGGGCTTGGGGTTGCTGCATACACTTCGTGGGTTCATACATCGATCTGGGCGACAAGGTCAAGTCAACTCCTGCGAGAGAGGATTGGGTCGGTGAATATACAGGTGAATCGAGTGTCAAGCTCCCCTTCACAGCTTTGATCGTCAGTTTGGGCCTGTGCACAGCAGCCTTCCGCCCCAAAACGTCCTATCAGTGCACCTTGACCCTGAGCCCTTCGCCAAGGAGCACGGATTGGGAAGACGGCTGCCTCAAGGGTGAGTCCAATGGCAGCGTGTCGGTATCCATTTCCTTGACACTCTCCTTGGGCAGGCGGCTTGGACTTGGGTTCCCGGGGTGCAAAAGCCCTTGAAGGCTTCGGGCCTCTAGGGTTTGGTTTAGGGTTCCGCGTCTGAGTCGTCTCCGAGAGCTCAAGCTCATGCATCTCAGCACATCGAACGTGCAATCGAGAACGGGATCTGATATCGGAGACTCTTGTCTCCTGCCGTGGTCACTGTGTCTAATTACCGTCGTTCTGACTTGTTCCTGCAACGGTTTCTGGGCACGTGTGCTACAGATCTGACACGCTCACCCCTGCTGATCTTTCTGAGTTTGAAGGTCGTCCCTCCCCGTGAGCATCCTCTCCATATCGGATGAGTTTCGTCAGCCGGCGCCACTGCTCAGATTAGTGAAACTTCTTGCATCCCGGCCTGCTATATTCTGGAACCTGCCCAAAACCCGAAACCCACTTTTGCAGCTGGTCACCCAGGGTTGTGAAGGTCCTGTTCTGGGGAGCCTGAGGAGGGAGTAGTCGAGACACGGGGCTTTGCAAGAGGAAGACGGGTACCGCTTGTAATGTAAACTGTAAACCCTATATGCCCTATATTCTCACATCAGCCCCAGAATATCAAAAAGACCTTGAGCCCTACATGATAATATAAGATTCTTGAACTTGAACTTTTCAATGACCTCCTCGAACAAGGACTTCATCGTGCAAGGGCATCGCATCCCTGCGGAACTTGCTCAAGCTGACGTGCTTCCCGATGGAGCCACAGCTCCCCAGTGACACATCGGAGCTTGAAGGAACATGGGCATGTTCAGGATCACAGACGCACAAACGCCTAGGCAATCATCAGTCGTGCTTGGCGTCCAATAAACATCTTCCGACGGTCCTAGGCAAGCGCGGCAACAACCCTCAAGAGCCGAAAAGCAACCTTAAAATTAAACCATCCTAAGACCCCAAAGCTTCTGGCGCCTCAGCTTGTTGAGAACGGTCTGTGTTTCGGGGTCCGGTTGAGGCACATTTGCCGCTCCTTGCGTGGCTTTAAATGCTGGCAGGAATCCCCAAGACTCTAAATCCTAAACCCTAAATCCTAAACGCTAAACCCTAAACCTAAAAGGATTGGACAAATGGGATTCGGTCTTCTGCATTTCGGGCGCTAGCCGCTCTTTCCAGGGCTAGGGGATCCGACCGGCATACTGGTTCAGGTAGGGGGGGTTTCAGCCTGGTTGAAGATCAGATTTGGATTTAGTGATTAGTTACTCCCTCTATCTCCCTCTGGGATTTGGCAAGTCGTAGAGAATCTGGGGCTCGAGCGGAAAGCCATAAACCGAAGTTTGTTGGGCAGAGATCAGAGCCTGCTGAGATTCGGACTTATGACACAGAAGTTCAGGCAGGTTCTGGTGACCTAGCGAGTAGGGCTTACCTTGTTCAAGTTCGGAAGCAGCACAGGTCATCGTCAGTGAACTTTCTTCTGACCTGTTTGCTCAGCCGGCCATCCTTCAATTTAGGGTTAATGGCTTCGGCCTTTAAGACTGACTGCCCAGTTCCGAAAGCCTCTACCGGAGCCCGAGATCTGAAACCTTTGAACTGAAACCTCAAGCTCTGGCCCCTGCAAACGCAGAGATTCAAGACTTATAGTCAAAACGTCGCACTCCTCCCCATGGAACTAAGGTTACATACAATCAGAACTACCTTTCGCCATCCAGCTGGAGTATCTGCATCCGGCAGAATTGCACTGCCCCTCAGCTTCGTAGCCGTGGTTTTGCTCAGACTTTCATGTGTCTTGAAGACTGGTTGGCGTCTTAGCTGCGGATGCGGAGTTGGTCTAGCTGCTTACGACTGCCTGGATCTACACTGGAGTGGCGAATTTTAGGGCATCAGAACGTATTTCTTGCTTGATGTCTGCCTTGGCGGCTCGAAGTTGCAGGGCGGCAGGTCAATGTGTAGCCTAGTCAACAAAAGCTGACTTCTCAACTTGTTTGAAGCTTCCGTACAGCCGGGGAGCCACTACCTCTTGACTATGTAAGGAGTTTCGTGTTGTATCTGTGTTCCCTGACGTTGGGCGTCCTGAGACCCTGAACCGTAAACCCTGAACCCGACAAAACCCATTGCACAAAGCATTACATAATAAACCCTGAGCTCTGAACCCCATAAATAAAGATAGAATCCACTAGAAACCCCAGACCCTAAACTCTAAACCCTAGACCCTGAACTCCACAAAACCCGGGGAAGAACTCAGTATGTAATTAAACCCTAAACACTGAACCCTATAAAAACCCATCATAGAATCCATTATATGCTAAACCCGACACCCTGAACCCCATAAAACCCATTGTATAGTAAACCCTTGATACTGAACCCCCCATCATAGAACCCAGTAGTATAACTCTGATGATAACCGTCGTAGAGACCTACCGTAAAATTATTAAGCTAATTCAAACAAGCCATTCTGTAACTCTGATAATGAGGAAACCCCTAAGCCCTAAACACCAAACCCCAAAACCCTAAACCCCAAAACCCTAAGCCACAAACCCGGAAGCCCAGAAGCTTGAGGCCTTGACTTGCCCAGCGACGTACAGGCAGCGGGCGGGCGAGAACTATTGCATGGGGCAGCACCTTGGACTTTCTGGTTTAGGGGTTTAGGGTTTAGGGTTTGGGGATGCCTCCTCTTCCTTTTTGTTTTGGTGTTGTCACTTTTAACGTGGCGTGTTATCAGGGTAGTATGACAGGTCGAGGGGTACACTGAATGCTCTGTTCTTGTAGAGCCTTGTTGATTCCACAATTCTTGTTCTTATTCTTCCGATCATTCATCGGTGCAGCCTGTCGCTTGAGGCTCTGCAGCGCGGACAGCAAGGAAGACGTGGCAGCCTGCTGCGAGACGCAGGCTTTCAGGGCTTTTCTTACGGCTCCATAAGCGGGTTCTCTTGGGCTCGATAGGGTTTGCTAGGGTTCAGGGTTAAGGCTCTCGGGCTCGAGTCGAGACTCAGGATCGCCAGAGCCCACCTTTCAGGATTCTAACGCCAGTTTCCGAGCAAAGTACGGCTTTTCACCGCAGATGGGCCTGATCCCCTGCGGAGGCAGATGTCCGTTCGGACGTTCTCTTCAAGGTGCAGTGGTCCAGTGTTTTCGACTTGCTGCACCCCGGCTCTCAAACCGCAAGGTTTGGCTTGGGAAGCTTTGGGGGACCTTTCCCAAGGTCCTTACATCTTACCCTAAACTTGCCCTAAACCCCAAACCACAGATCCCTAAACCTTCTGTCCTTGTAGCCGGTAGGAGGTTTTCTTGTAGATTATGCACGTGTAAAGCATTGTCCCCTTGTGCAGTTGTATGGATGACTGTTGCCATAGTGCTCTGACTAGAAAAGGCGCCCGTGATTTATGCCATGGTATAATCTGGTCAACACTTAACGGTATT